GGGGCCCGCGCAGCGCCCTGGGTGTCTGTCGGGTTCTTTTGGCTTCGCTCTCTCTGTCGCTGCTGTCGTGACTGCAGGCTGGCTGTGGTTAGATGGCAGCGGGCAGCTGCTGTGCTCCCCGCCGGGTTCCTGAGCATCACGGAGGGAGGACCATCCCCTCCGGTGCCGGGGCTGACAGGACCCACCTCTGGAAAACGAGCTCTGAACTCCTCTGGGCCTTGTTGCAGAAGCAGAAGGGCAGCACTTCGGCCCCAGAGGGCTCTGGGAGCTCGTCTTTATAGAGCCCGTGTTTCTGATCTAGTTCTGGGGCAGCGAGCTCCCGGCTGTTAACTTGCTCCTGTCCTCAAGGGTCGTTACGAAGAGCTAAGAAGACCTGCAGCCCCGAGCTCCTCCGCCTGCTCAGGCCGGGTGATGTTACCTGCGATCTGGAACTTGCTTCCTGGGACAGCTCCGAAATAGCAGTGCCTGAAATACCTTCTCTCCAGGTGCCTCATGGAGGGCTGGGTCTGTTTCCAGAGCTGCTCTGCCTGCTCAGGGCAAATGTTCAGGCCATCAGGACTCCATAGATCATGGCACAGGGCTTCATTGGTAGAAAATGACCAGCCCACCAGCGCGTCCCTGGGATCCTGGCTCATTCCTGGCACTTGCAAGTGCCACTGCTGATCCTCTGACATGTCTGACTGCCTGGAGAGTGCTTCTGATTCCCCCATGCTGCTCTGCCTGCTCAGGGCAAATGTTCAGGCCATCAGGACTCCATAGATCATGGCACAGAGCTTCGTTGGTAGAAAATGGCCACCAGCGCGTCCCTGGGATCCTGTCAGGCCATCAGGACTCCATAGATCATGGCACAGGGCTTCATTGGTAGAAAATGAGGTGGCCACCAGCGCATCCCTGGGATCCTAGCTCATTCCTGGCACTTGCAAGTGCCACTGCTGATCCTCTGACATGTCTGACTGCCTGGAGCGTGCTTCTGATTCCCCCATTCCAGGGGGAACGGGGCTGCCAGCCCATTCCTCGCCCTGCAGCTTCCCTGGGCAGCCTGGGGTCGCTGGGTGGGTTTCCTGTCGGGGGCAGAACAGCCAGTGTGACACTGCGTCCCAGTCCCCAGCACCTTGCGTCCAAGCTGCAGCTCATCACTGTGCATGTGTAATTAGAGCCGTAAGCATTGTATCTTGAATTGCTCTGTTCGTTAGCATCTGTCCTGCACTACTTTTTGCTAATTACATTATGCTTATGGTAAGCGTTCACTGCTAATTGCTAGCAGCAAGATTTGTTTAACTAAACACGTTGTTTAAGGATACCTGTTTTGTATCCTTCGAAGCTCTGTTTAGAGATGCGCTGGTCTGCTCGCTCTCCTCCATGCAGATCTTGGGCAGGTTCTGTCGGTTCTCTGGACAGCAAGGATCCAGCTGCTTTATCCAACATGGTTTTGAGGAACTTACCACCACATTTGCACCAATAAAATAATTAGAGGTCATATTTTGGGGGCTCATAGCACGGCTTTGCCCGAGGAAGATTGTCCCTGTTTGCTCCAACACAGGCCTGTTGTTGTGCTTATTATTCTGCCGGTAGGAAAGTCTTTGTGGGATAAATACAGTCGTCTGTTCTGTTATGGAATGTGCTGTGAAGTCGTGGGTACAGCCAGTGCTCGGGAGGTGGTGGAGGTTCCAGAAGTGTATTTTCGTGGCCTTTCTCCGGGTGAGCGATCCCGTTTGAGCAGGGTCAGCCTGGTGAGGCTGGCTGGTGTCATGCACAGCCCGTCAAGAGAAAATACCGTGTGATTTTTCACTTTAAGAACTCCGCTGTGGCGATTGTATCAGCACCCACCATGTCCTCAGAGTTCCTCTCTGTCCCTGGGTTTCACACTCTGCCCTGGTGCTAATCAGTTTAGTTCTTGGTTTACTTCTTGCTCGTCTCTTCTGCCCCATTCCTGCCTAGGTCTCAACCCTGCTGCTGCCTTCCCAACGCTCCTCTCCAGCCCTCAGCTCCCTGCGCCAGCCAGAGGCTTTTCTCCTCCTCTTCCCGGGTGCCAGCAGAGGGAGCGCAGGCAGCACGGAGGAGGACTCTGCCTGTCCTGTGCCTGCAGCACCCAGCCCTGCACCCTGAGGTCCTGCCCTGCTTGGGGCTGGGCTGGGCAGTCCCACCAGCAAAGCTCCCTCGTCGGTACTTTTAACGCAGACAAACAGCATGTTGTTAACCCTCCCCTTGCGTTCTTAGAAATAGCTGTGCTGTTTTATTGAATCATCTCAAATAAGTTCAGTCTAGAGCAGGTATCTGGCAAAGAAAACAGTCCAGACACTTGGTTTGACGAGGTCACGGGCAGCTGTAAGGAGGGTGCCTAATGGATGGTGTCCACTCCCGTTAGCTACGATTGACAGTACTTGCAGAGCCAGTAATTAAGGTCGCGTTCTCCGTGGGCTCCCCACTGACGTCCGTGTGTGCGTCCAGCCTGGCTGCTGGAGTAGCAGCGTGCGCAGGAGTGACGGGAACGGGCTGAAGTGGGCATCGAGGGGGGTGTCAGGGCTGTGCATGGGTGGTGAAACCTGGCTTCCTAGCTACGAATTGTCTAGCCTGTTGGCTAATTTCAGTCTTCTTTCACAGAGAGAGATTGCAAAAATAATTATGTTTCTACAAATATAATAAAATTTGGTCTTGGGGGAGCAGAAGCGCTTTGAAAGTTTGCCTTTAGTAGAAGGTGCAAGCTGATTTTGAGAGTCATTGTGGCAAATTGCCTGTCGCTGTCCCGGTCCTTGGCTGGAGTGAAGCAGGACGATTCCTAGGTGCCTGCAGAGACAGCCAGTGATGAAGTCAGTAACTGGGGTAGCAATCCAGCCAGCAAGCTGTAGGGAGCCAGACTTCCCATGCTTGCAGAATTCCTCGTTTTCCATTTGTGGTGGTGTTGTCATTGATTAAAGCTGACAAAATACCTCTTTTTCTCACATCAGACTTGTTCTGTCCTCCTCCGCAGGTCTCCTCAAAGATCCTGGCTCAGATGCTTGGGTGAAGGTTTTAAGTTCCTTGGACTGTAAATATTCTTTTGAGCCTCAAGCAATTCCCTGCAGCATAACCTGGAGGAGACACACGCCAAGCCCTCTGTCCACTCCAGTGAGTCTTTCTCATCTTCTCTGCGTGCATAAGCTGGCAACTGATGTGGTGTGAGGAGAAAGCTTTGACTCGCCTTGCTAGGCTGGGCATTGGAGCCTCGGAAATGCCAATTCCGGGTGACCAGTTAGCTTGGGGAAAGAACGAGCTGGGGGTAATTCTCACGCAGATTATTCCAAAGCCAACATCTTTTAAACATCTACATCTCCTTGTTTTAGGCAGGCACGCATCTAGGGTGAGCCCAGGGAACCTGTAGTCAGCAAGAGATGAGACCACTACACGTCATTGTTACGGAGGTTTCGCTTGGGTACTCGGCAGCGTTTCCAGCCCCGATGCTGTGTGTGGCTCGCTGCCACCGGCAGCCGCTGCATGTCTGAGAGAGGCTGGGCAAATTTGCTGTAGGACCCCTCATTTGGAAAGCCCAGTGACTGATTCTTGAACCCCACTTGCTGGAGACCCAAAAGGGCAGGTACCTTCTGGTACCAAAATCCGGTTCCCATTTCAGTTTGGTTTCAGAAGGTTCTGTGTCCCAGCGGTATCCGCGTGGCAGCGGAGGCTGAGGTGGGGGCTGTTCTCCTGCTCACCCCCACTACAGGAATTTCAGGCGGAGGCAGAACTCTTATTTTTGCTGTTGCTGGATAAAACATTGCAGCTACTGCAGCCATAACAGACTACAGATAATGTAGGTGCAGATAACACGGTTATCTAACAGTGCCTGCAGTGCAGACAAAGCCATTTTGTGTCCTTTTGTCTCAGCAACTCCTGCAGTTGTCGCTGCCTTCCTTGCCAGGCTGTTTTTGCACCTTCAGCGATCAGCTTGTTTGGGGAAGGTTTTTACCTTTCCGTTCAGCCATGGTCTTTCACCAGCGTAGTATTGGCGTAGCTTTACGACGTGGTGGTGCCTCTTACAGCCTTATGGGTGGAGACTTTCTGTCTGCTTTCACGCTGGACCCCTGCTCATGTTGAAAATCATTTCATCTTCTTTAGGATGGCCCTGTGGTGAAGACCGAAGAGGAGAAAGAGGTGTTGGTGTTGGTAGAGCCAGAAGATTTTCTTAAGCGCCTCTTTTCCCTGACCCAGGTGATACAGATCTTTGAGCCAGACCTATACAAAGTGCTCTACAGCAGAGTCACTTTGCCAGGTGACCATGGAAGGGGAGGGAGGGTGCCTTCAAAACTGCCCTTGTTCATCCCTGAAACAAAGCTGTGGTACAAAGGGCAGTGGTTTGAAAGGACAGAACTTGTGGGAGAAGCCCAATCCGAGTACAGCAGGAGGCCTTTAGGTTTGGTACACTGGCACCTGCCTTTAAGCCCGGCAGAGGACGCTGCTTTCCTCAGAGGGGAGCTGGGCCGGCCAGACTTGCCTTTCCTTTCATTTAGCTTTTGCATTCTCATGGAGTCCATAAAAGAGTTGCTTGAAAGAAAAATTCAGAGTACACAGCCCTTGGAAACACTGGCATTTCGAAGCAGAGAGATTTGCATCAGTCCTCACTTGTGTGCAGCCCTACAATGTTTTATTTATACCTGTCTAGGCAGCCCTGAGAGGTTCCCAGTCCACCCAGCCCCGTCCAAGACTAGAGAATGACAGGCTAGGATAGGCAGTGTCTGGGAGGAGATCGGTGCTAACGCTCCAGGGAAGCAGGTGAGCCAGAAGAAGCAGCGGGACATTGGCAGATGTGGCACGTGGTGTCTTGGCTGCAGTCTGAGGCTGGCTCCTGCCCCTTCCCACCGATGAGATGCGCCCGCTGTCCTGCCGGAGACAGGGAGGGGTGTTTCGGAGAGGAAGGCTGCTACAGACTTGGGTGTCATTTGTCTCATTTCAGAGTTTTGTCAATGACCCGTCAGTGAGTCAGCCGGACCTGAACCAAGTGTTGCCTTTGGCCGGTCTGGAGGGCTCCTCCACCAAAGCCTACAGCCTGGCCGTCGTTGGGCTGGATGCCTACAGGCGGTATGTGCCGGGCGAGCGGTGGCGCCGGGGAAGCGAGCAGCGGGTGGAGATCAGTGTGTCTGGGGGGGGACGCATTCGGGGCTGAGCTGCTGACGCTTGGAGCCAGCATGGTGGCTGTGAATCACAAAATCCACGCTCGTGGGGGCCGGGACTCAGGTTTTTCAGCCTCGAGGGTATACTTTGCGCATGTGTTTACAGCATCCCCTGGGGATCCGGTAGCCAGGAGGGGTTCACAGGTAAGGCTTCTCTGTACCCCAGGCGGAGGGCCGCAGCGATAGGGAGGAGCTGAGGGAACTGCTCTTGCTGAATTGCCCTGCTCTTCAGTGCCCTGAGAGATGTTCAATGCCTGGAGCCCTTTTCTTGTCCCCTCAATGTCTCATTCGTTTGCTGCTCCCAGTGCCTGGGTCCTTCCTGTCCATGAACATGCACGGCAGAGGAATCTGCTCCGTGGTGATGGTGTGATCCCTGCATAGACACGGCTACAGTAGCTCGGTCTGTCCTGTCCTGTCTGGAGTATTTCCCAGGGAGAGCTCTTGTCTCACCACCTCCTGAGCTTTTTCCCACTTAAGCCTGCGAGGATGAATTTTACTGAGGGTGTTATGTATAAAAAAAATCAGCTGTGGCCTCTTGAGTTCTGCCGCCAGAGGAACCAAGTGGCTCTCACCTTGGTTGCAGGTCTCCCCTTTTCTCCCTTGAAGGGGAGCTGCTGCCACTGGGGGGGCGAGGTGGCCTGGGGCAAACTCTGCACCTTTGTCTCCAGACAGAGGAGGTGGCAGATGTGGGTGGGTGGATGACGGCTGGCCTTTTCCTCTGTACCAGACAGCAGCCCCGAGGCGTGAGCTTGTGTGTGAGCGGTTGTGTCTTGCTCGTAGGTGTAACCAGGATCAGGGCAGGCAGCAGGCACTGAGCCCCGGAAAGCAGAGTCCCAGCTCCCAGCCTGGCCCAGAGCTGGCTATGACTCAGGAGGAGATACTAGAGGTAAAACTTCTTACAGTCCTTGAAGGTTTTTATGTTACCTGGGGTGCAGAAAAGGCTCCCACGGGGGAGCTCTTGCATGTGAGGAACGCTTTGCCAGGGGAGGTGGTGGCTGGCTTTGGATCAGGCTGCATCCGTGCACCTCCTTCTTCACTCTGGCTGGCGGCGGGGTTGAAGAGGGACTGCAGACGTTGAGGCACAGTTTGGAGCCTCTTGTTCATAAGACCCTGGCTCAGAGCTGATCCGGCCTCCTGTCCCCAGCCCCACCAAGAACTGCCCAGTGAGCTGTGAAAGGAGCTGTTGGTTCTCGCTCAGGTCTCTGCCTTGCAGAGCCTGTGTCCCACAGCAGAGCGGGGATGCTCCTTGTGATGCCGCAGCAGTCATAAACTAGGTCAAATCTGATCTAAACCCTTCCCTGATATCCCTTCAACTAAATTCCTGCCCTGCCTGAGTACGCCCCAAAGAGGGTTATGACTCGCTGGCTTACTGACAGGATGAGGAGGATGAGCAGGCTTTACTGCGGCGCCGTGTAAACAGAGCTAATGCGAGCAGCCCAGCCTCCCTCCCAGCCCCCAGCCCAGCTTCATCCTGCCGAGGGATGTGTCCTGCCCGTGCACTTTCCTTGCTCATCTCACCGGAGGCCTTGGTGGCCAGGGCTGACACCAGCACTACTGGCTGAGGGTCTCGGGCTGTCCTGGCTCCCAGCTGGCCCACCTGAGCCTGGCTTTGTCCCGTTGGTCAGCCTGTTAACATCTTTCCCCTCTGCTGCTTCTCCTCCAGGCGCTGGTGGTGCTGCAGCTGTGGGGTAACATCGATGTGCTGTTCTTAGACACCTGGCAGGAATTCGGCCAGCACGTCTCTGCCCTGACGAAGGCAATAGCAAAACGCCCGTACAAGTGAGTTGTATCGCTGGACTCGGTCACGTCCCGAGCCCAGAGCTTTGGGAAACCTCAGTGGAAGCTACAGGAACACTTATCTGTGGCTGCCAGCCTGTCCTCGACGGCATCAGCATAAGGGCTCAGACCAGATGCGTCTCAAGATCATGTTCAGTCTCCGTGACGATGAAAAACCTGTTCTCATAGTGAATGCAGTGATGATTCTGCACTAGGAAAGGAGGGAAAATGACGGCCTTAGAAAAGGCCTTTCACCGAGGTGTTCTGGAGCTCTCCAGGGAAGGAAAGAAAAGTATGAGGGGGAAAAAAATATTGGTCCTGAGCAGAAAGAGGTTTTAGAATGAAGCCCACAGCTTAATGCTAGGGGAAGGCTGCAGCGCCTGGGCTCTGCAGGCCTGTGCTCAGTGCATGCACCAGCCCCAGGTCTTGCTCTCAGCAGTCTGTCTGTCTGCAGGAGGCAGCTGGAGTCGCAGGAGCTGCCTTTCTGCACTGACGGGGCCTGGGCCAGAGGGGCGCGAGTGGAGAAGGACGGCACGGGACTCTGGCAGGTGTGGAAGAGACAAATCCAGCAGTTTAACAGAGTCAGCCCTGCAACAGCAGCAGCCATAGCAGAAGCATACCCCTCCCCAAGCCTCCTGGTACAGGTGAGCCCTCGGACCCCGCAGTGTCCTGTGAAAAGCTTGGAGGATGCAGGCATGGAAGGGTGCCGCGTGCTTCCTTGCTTAAAGGTCTTTGTTGATACAGCAAACAAGCCCCGAGTATGAAATCGTCTCTCCAGAAAGGCAGGGCTCGTCTCCAGGCAGGTGCTTTACCTGAACCAGCTTTGTTTCAGCA